TCCCTGTGGGGCTCCAGCAGCTCACGGTGTTCTGCAGTTCTCAGCCTTCCTCCCCTGCGTGCTGTGCTCCTCTGTGGGAATCCAGAGATTCCCTCTGGCTGCCTTAGAAGGCCTAAAACCCTGGCAGGGGTCAGGAACCCCCCTGGACAGAGCCCCCACAGACACTGGCTGTGATCTCTGTCCATGGAAAAGAGTTTTCAATCTTGCAAGATGAATTACAAGTGTTTGATATATGTAATAATTAAGTGTGGCACCAGTGCAAAAATAAAATTTTAAGATTCTAAATTAGGGGTTCAAAAGGGACAAAATAAAGAAAATTAGGTTTATCTTGTCCTTTTTCTCCTTCTTCATGCCCTCCATGTTTCACTGTAGTGTTGGCATTTTTCTATTACTTTAGGCTGGGGACACACTGTCCAACGTAGATAATAAATATTAACACATTATTGTAAATATAGTACAGGTAGTTTCTGGTATTTAATGTTTATAACATCCCAGTAAGGAGCAGAGCCCCACACGCTGCCCTGCAAAACAAACCTATGGCAGGGCAGCAAAACATGTTATAGATAAGCAAAAATAAACAACCTTAAAAACCAACACAGACAAATTATGACTCCTTCTTCTTTAACAAGGAGGCAAAAACAAACAGAGCCTTTTTACAATCTCAGAATCATCAATACCAGATTCCGACACTCCTCTGCACGCCAGGGCAGCGCTGCAATGGGAATGGAAACGGCTCAGGCTCCCCAAAACGGGATCCCCACATCTGCCAGCACCTCTGGAATCCCCAGGGAGGCTCCAGCACCACCATCCCCTAACCAAGGTGATAACCCCCCCTTTATCAGCCCCAGCAGAACCCCAAAATCCTCCTGCACACAGCTGGTTAAAGTCTGAGCCCTTGGCAATCTGCCTGGAATTTCAGCCCACATTTTTCTGCAGCGAGTCCAAACAAACTCACCTGGCTCTGGAGAAGCTGCTGGGCAAAGTGCCACAGCCCTCTGTGGCCTCATACAGCCGAGCTGCTCAGGAAAATCAAACTCCTTCCCCGCGACCTTGGGGCGTTATCTGCCTGGCCAGGAAGGGAGACACAGGGAAAAAGGGGGATAAGGGCCCTGTCCTGCTTCTGCTCCCCAGTGTGAGCCCTGAGAGCCACCCCCGGGTGCTGACACAGAGGGACAGTGGCTGTGGTGACACTGGGATCAGCACACACGGGCAGTTCTGCCTCTCTTCCAGCAGGATGTCCCTGTCGGAATCTGTGCTATTGATCCCAAAATTGTAAAAGTCTCTGTCTGTCAGCCCCACTGCCAAAGCAGAAGCCATAATTCATCTGTGCTGGTTTCAAGGTTGTTTATTCTGTTTATCTCTAACATGTTCTGCTGCCCTGCCGCAGCTCTGTCCTGCAGGGCAGCGTGTGGGGCTCTGCCCTCAGTGGGATGGTACAAACATTAAATACCACAAACTACCTGTGCTGGATTTACAATAACGTGCCAATATCTGTCACCTACGTTGGACAGTGTGTCCCCAGCCTGAACCAACAGAAAAATGCCAACACCACAGTGAAACATGGAGGGCATGAAGAAGGAGAAAAAGGACAAGGCACACCCAATTTCCTCCATCTTGTCCCCTTTGAACCCCTTATCTAGAATCCTAAAATTTTACTTTTGCACCCATGCCACACTTAATTATTACTTATATCAAACACTCAGAGCTTGTAATTCATCCTGTAAGATTGAAAACTCTTTTCCACGGACAGAGATCACAGACAGTGTCTCTGGGGGCTCTGTCCAGGGGGGTTCCTGACCCCTGAAGGGTCCCAGACCTGCCAGGGCAGCCAGAGGGAAGCCCTGGATTCCCACATGTCCCCTGAGATTCTTTGGCTCATTTTTCCACTGGGCTGGGCAGGGAACAGCTTCCCTTTCTTCCCGAGTCCCATCTGCCCTTCCTCGTGCTGCCTGTCACCTGCTCTGGGGCCAGCCCGGTCCCACAGGGCCCCTTTGGGACAGGGATCAGGTCAGGGAGGAAAAGGGAATGAGGAATGGGGTGGGGGAGAGAACAAAACTGATGCCTCAGGTTTGGCTTTTGTATTCTCACATCCTGTGCTGCTTTAGTGTGTGGGTCTGGGATTCATATCAGGAGTTGGTGAGCGCTCTGCACAGAGCAGGGAGACAAAACAATTCCTGCTCTGGCTGGGACCAAGGACCAGTGATCCAAATCTCAGCCCCAAGAGCACAAACAGCACGGACCAAAGAGAGAAAACAAGCAGGATGGGACTGCATGGGCTGGAGCTGGAATTGGATAATTAACTCCAATATGCAAATGGAGCACAAGAACTTATAAAAATGAGACACCCTGTGACAAGCTGACCATTTTTGTGACAGTTTTGATTCATCTTGGGTGTAGCCCTGGCTGGGCTCTTGTGCTGCCCAAGGTGGATCTACTGAGGCCTCTCAATAAATCCTGCTTTATTCTTTAGCTCTGTCTGACCTCCTGGTCAGCCTTCCTAGGGCATTAGAGCAGCTGGGAACTCATCTGAGCAGACAGCAGCTGGCAGGAGCTGGGGTGATTAAATGATGTGTAACTGAGAATCCTCTGGGGTCAGAGCGCTTAGGGCAGCCAGAAAAACCCCACAGAGGGATCCTGTGGGGCCAGCACTGCTTCCCTCCCTGGGAACAGCACACAGGTCCTGGAGAATGGAGGGAAGCACTCAGGAACAGCACACAGATCCACAGAATTCCCAGAATGACCAGGTTGGAAGAGACCTTCAAGGTCATCGAGTCCAACCCAGCCCCAACCCCTCACCCAAACCCTGGCACCCAGAGCCACATCCAGGCTTTGTTAAACACACCCAGGGATGGGGATCCAGCACCTCCTGGGCAGAACATTCCAGAACTTCCATCCAGCAGCACACAGGGAAATCTGGGACCTGCCAGGCCGGCTCCTCCTGCCCCAGTGACAGCAGGGGACAATGATCCTCCTGGCTGTCCTGGCCTTGTCACCTCCTCATGCCCCAGCACCCCAAAAGGAACCCACTCCTCCTGCCTCAGTGACATCAGGGGACAATGTCCTCGTCACAGCCCACCCTTGGCTGTCCTTGTCACCTTTTCCTGCCTCAGTGACATCAGGGACAATGTCATTGTCACAGCCCACCCTTGGCTGTCCTTGTCACCTTTTCCTGCCTCAGTGACATCAGGGGACCATGTCCTTGCTGGCTGCCCTGTCCTTGTCACCTCCTCCTGCCCCAGTGCCCCCCAAAAGGAACCCCCAAAGCTTCACTGGGGCCCAGGTTGTGCCCCAGTCCCACAGCTCCTCCTGTCCAGCTGGAGGACACCCCCAGGGGTGACACAGAGGACACAGATTGACCAGTTTAAGGAAAAACCCCGTGTGGGGTCTGTGGCCAACACCCAGCTCTGAAAGTGCCCCAACCTCTGACAGCCACATCCTGGAAAATCTCTTAAAAATGGGTTTTTCTCTGCTCATCCCACTCCAAAGTTTTGCTCCAGTCTCTGTTCTTGGCCCTTGCAGGAAAAAAAAGTAATTCTGGATCCCCTGTGATGCTTTTATGGCTCCTGGAGTGGAACCCCACAGCTCCAACTCAACACCTGAATTAATTCACCCCTGCTGAACCAGCAGACACTGCTCTTAAATCAGCATCTATTTCAGAGTTAGAGCAGGGGGAAAAACCCTCTCAAAGGGATTTTGGGACACGTTTATGAATATTAGAACACTATAAATATAAAAGGGAACATAAGGAAATAGAAATATTCTCACAGGGTGACATTTTCAGCCCATTTCTGCTTTCACCAAATTAAAATAGTTGCCTGGTTCTTATTGTGGATCACGTGGGCCTCTCAACTTTGTAACCTTAAAAGGGATCTTTGAGGGCTGACATCAGAGCTCCTTTTTTGTCACTTCTAACAGGAAAATGGTGATTCATGCCAGGGAAGGGAGCAAACCCCACAGGACACGGGTCACTGGGATGTGTCACCTGCCCCGTCTCTGTGTTCTCACCTCATCAGCTGTCCAAAAATCAGAACTCTCCTCCATTCTCCAAAGTTTCCCTGAGAAAGACCAAAATGTCCTTATTGCCAAGGACACCTCTGTCCCCTCTTCTTTTGTCCCTTCCCTGAGATCACTGAACCAGCACGGAGCTGGGAAAGGAAGAAAAACTCCAATTTTTGATGTGTTTTGGCCCTTCCTACAAGGACAAAGCTGGAAGCAGCCAGGAAACCACCGAGTCCTCTGCAAAAAAGAAAGTTGATGGGCAAAGGCTGTGCCAGACAAACTCCTGCTGCTGTTCCTGCTGGATGTACCTGCCCAACAAATCCTGGAGAGTCAGGGAAAGTCACCTTCACTGATTTACTGGAATTTGTGTGCTCAGGGCAAGGCGTGGAGCCTCAGGATGTGACAAACTGGGAATAGTCAGGCTGGGGGAGCAAGGAGCCAACATTATCCCATGGAAATCTGTCCAACATTGGTTGAGGCCCTGCAAAAGCCACCTGGGAGATTCTGCTCTGCCTCCATTCCACCTTTTTGCTGGAAAATTAACCAGCAGAGACAAAGCAGCCCAAAATGAGAGAGACAAGGAGAAGAAGGGCACACATGGTGCAGGGCCCAGCCAAACCTCCACCCCCTCCAGGTGTCCAGCGAGGATGAAAAAACAGGATTATGGAAAACATGGGAGGAAAAGCAGCTGCTCCTGTCCATCCCTGCTGTCACAGCTTCCCCTGGCAGCCCCAGCCAGGCCAGCAGGGAACCAGACCAAGAGCAGCTCTTTGATGTCACAAACAGAAGGGCCCTGCTGACGTTGGGGAACTGTGGCCTGACCTCCTGCTCTGCCAGGGTCAGGCAACACTTTGCTGCTCCCAGTCTGCTCCCAGTAAAGCCCAGCTGGGATGCTGGGCTGGAGTGTGATGGGAACAGGCACAGGGAAGGAGAGGGATGAACTGAGAGCCAAGCAGAGCAGATCCACCTGTCAGCGCTCCGGAACACACAGAATCCCGGGATATGATTCCATGCAGGTGCTTTTATTGAGAGCTCTGGGAATCAGGGGTCCAGACCCAAATCTGACTCTGACATGGCTTTCGAGCTGAACATATTTTACATTCTATCATTATATAACTTACATATTAATTATTACACTTATATTGTTCTATTGGATACATTGACATGAGTTTCTCATGATCTTTCTTAGGTCCCTGACCACAGTTTCTCATGATTATTCTTACGATTAAACAGTAATTATATTTAATTACTAAACAATCATCACATCTAACAATTATATCATTTATTATGTACTATCTACACAGGTGCAGTTCTAGTAAGGTACAAGGTCTTCCTGTACTCAGGGTATTTGTTTTCTTTTCAGGGCCTACTAAGCTTAATTTTCTTTTTAACCCTAAATCCCCACGATTTTAAACCCTTTTACTATCCCATCCTGCTCCAAATGTGGGAGGGGGAGGTGCCAGGGCACCTCCAGGGATGGAGCACAAGGAACAGTTTGCTCTGTCTCTTCACATTTAGTGACAAGGACCCTAAAGCCACCCCTGCCACGGGCAGGGACACCTCTCACCATTCCCGGGACACTGCCAGGGGCAGCACAGCTTCTCTGGACACCCTGTGCCAGGGCCTGACCGCCCTCAGAGGGAACAATTCCTCCCTGACACCCAACCTATCCCTCTACTTTCCCTGTTGTTCTGCTGCTCCCTGCCCTTGCAAAGCCCCTGAGCATCCCCCCATGTGCCAGCACTGCTTCCAGCTGAGGCTGGGAGCAGGAAGGCGCAGCCCCGGGGCGGCTGCAGCACCGCTCCCAGCCCCCTCCGAGCTCCCCCTGTGCTGCAGGAGCTGCTGCAGCAGAGCTGCCATCGCTGCCCAGCCGTGCAAGAAGCAGCAGAGGCTCTCCCCCTCCCCGCAGCTCCCCCCGTGCTCAGCACGGCTCTGCCGGGGCGAGGGAAGCGATGTCGTGAGCGCCGGCGCTGCCAACTTCTCTGCTGCAGCCAGTGCATGTGCCTGGAGCTGCTGCTCCCAGCCAAGCCCTGCCGTTTGGGAAAGGAAATCTGGGAAAAGTCACTTCCAGCCCGAAAAATCCAGGCAGTTCTCAGCTCGCCGGGGGCGTTGGGAAGCAGAAATAGCAGCGAAAACGGCTTCACGCCAAACGCGGGTCGAGAGAGGGATCAAATATCTCAGGAGCGGCACGAAAAGCAGCGTTTGGGGACGGCAAGGAGCCCTAAATCCAGGATTTAGGTGGTGCAGGAAGGCAAACTGGATGTGCTGGTGGCCAGGAGAGCCTGCAAATGCTTCCCAGCTCCGGCTAATCCGCGGTTATCCCGGAGGATTGGGGCTGTGGGGAAGGGAGGGAGCTGTGCACGTCCTCCGCCCTGCCCCTGCAAAGGGATCCAGGGTGAGAAGGGATTAATCACTTTTCTTACACATAAAATCCCTGTGCGTGCCGTGCCGAGGGACCCGGGAGGGTGTCAGGAAAGCCATTTATGTCCATCACATCTTATCTGCTCCAGCCTGAGCACAAAAGCAGCCCCTCCTTCCCTCGGGCATTAATCCTCGGGACAGGATTAAGGCCGATCAGCGCGGGGCTCCCCGCAGAGAACAATCCCGCATTTGCTGGGTGACACCGAGATGATATCTGCGAGGATCACAGAGCTCGCACAGGGATTAGAGGTGTGGAAAATGCATATTTTACGATTGGCTTTCGCAAATATTACAATGAATATTATATGTGTGATGTTAGAAAGTTGTGCTGTATTAATTCTCTTACCTATTGTGTTAAATGTAGTTTTAGTTTCCAACATAATGTTAAAATAGAGACTGTGTATGTGGGGGAAGTTTTTTTTTTAGGAATGAGATACTTGCTTTGAGGAGCACCTAAATCTTCCAGAGGAGAGGAATTTATCACTTCTTATCAGAAGAAACTAATTTCTTCAGGCCTTGCTCAGACTTGAAGACATCGGGGGATTAAAGGAAACAGTTGACATACAACAGAGTTTCTTGTTTTAAATAAAATGTATGCATAACCATGAAGATGTATGAATATGCAATAAGTGTATTGTTTTAAGGATGATTCCTTTGTCCACAAGACACACTTTTCGTGACTTAGTGTCTGAGAGCATCCGGACATCCATAATTCTTTGCTTTTTATTGTCTTGTAATTGTCCTAACTCTAAACTCTATTACTCGAATTGTATTATAACCATTCCATTATTATTAAACTTTAAAAAATTTAAAGGCCAAACGCTTGGCGTTTTTCACAGAGGGCAGCACAGGAGGTGAAGCGGGAGTTTCTCCCTGCCCCAAGAACCCGCTGCCGTTTTCACGCCTCGTTAACCCCGGCGCGCAATCCAATCCGAGCAATGCCGGGCCCAGCTCCAGCCCCTCCTGATTGCAATTACAGCCAAACGCTGTTAATTGGCTTTGCAGCCGCGGCACACCCGGGCTGTGTCAGGGGCATTTCTCCAGCTTGCCACTGTCATTTCTTTGTCACTGTCACCTCGTGGTGGCCGTGCCCTCTGCTAAAAGCACCAGCTCCCACCCAGGCAGAGCTTTTCCTGCAGTTTCAATTCTGGGAATCCTTAAAAGCAGAGGGTTTTGGGAAAGCTGCACAAGGCAGGCCTCAGAGACAGCAGAACTGCCATTAGAGCTAAGTGGTAGCCATAAGATTTCCAATACAATACCTACTTCAGCAGGAAAGTTATATAAGTAGAAAAGTAAGGATAAATATAACAATGGTCTGTGTATTAGCACTTGGCTAGAATAACTCCCTAAGCTACACAAAAGTATATCTAGTGAGATATTAGGAATTTCTAAGTTAAATAATGGGGTTCTGCGCATTGTATCTTAAGGCTTAAAAGCGTTGTATTGTATTGGTAATAAGGTATTGTATTGGAAATAAGCAAGCATTGTTTTAACCAAAGGTACATGTGCTTATAGTGGTTGGATAGAACTACTTTGTTTTTGCTTTGTGTGATTGGTCAAAAAGCTTTTAAAGTGAGCTGAAACATTAAGTTCTTGGTCTGCTGCCGGGGATGTGAGCTGCTGGCATCTTCCCATTGTCAGAGCCATGCAATGAGAGTGCTGGTGGAAAATCAACAGCTCCAGATGCATTTCCCAGCAGTCCTGTCCCGTGTGTGATTTGTGGCCAGCAATGCTTCCCTTTCCTGCCCTGCTGGGACCTGCAACGCGACCCAGGACACAGCACGAGGCACACAGCAGGCAGGGAACTGAGCAGGGCCCCTTTAATCCAGGGAATGACACAACAGGCAGAGCGTGGGGACAGACAAACCATGGCACAACCACAGGGGTCACCTCTTTCCTTCTCCGAGCAGAGTCCTGAGGAGGTTGGAGAGAGGGTTTAGAGCATCCCCAGACACAGAACGAGCCCAGCTGGTGTCTCAGCACAACTCACCAGTGCAGCAGCAGATTTAGGGGGCTCCCCCAGCAAAGATGAGCTCCAGGGCAGCCTGGATGTCCCCTCCTGTGGCCTGCAGGGCCCGCAGGCTCAGCTCGTCGTCGTGGATTCCCATGTCCCGCAGCTGCTGCAGCTGGGGCTGCCACTGGCTCTGCTGACAGCAAAGAGGAGAAGTTTGGGGCGGTGTGAGAACCCCAGCAGGAAAACCAGCAGATTTCCCACTGCCCCAGCTCAGCCAGCTGCTGTGCAAACAGCTTCTGAAAGCTCAGCGATGCTGCAAAGTCCCCAAACCCACCACCCCCTTCTCTGTGGTTTGGGTTTTTTTTTTTTTTTGGTAAAATTTAAAAGTTTAATGAAGGACGGTAGGAGATAAAGATAGTAAAGATTATTCTGGGTGTATCTTGGCACTCACCCAAGAGCAGACTTAGTTTTAGGATTATTTCTTAAATATTTTTTTCTATTACATTAACTTGTATATTCAGAGATTCTTATGCACATTTCTCTTTTTCTATAAACTAGTCTATAAATTTTAGAAACTATTTTGTATGGCTCTTTGGGGTTTTTTTATTGTATGCCTGTTTCTCAGTTGTGCTTTTGGCTTTTTTTCTTTATTACTTTTAGTCTATACTTTCTTCAGATGGCAAATGTTGATCGTTAATTAATATTAATTCATATAATATGAATTAATAGTTATTAATAGCAAGGTCTTTGTTATATATTTACTGAATGTTACCTTGATTAAACAGTTCACTTATAACTAGATTAACTACTACTATTACCATGTCTAAGTTTTTTGTTAATAGCAGAAATAAAGTTATTTTAACATTATACACATAATATTTATCTTAATATTTGCAAAAAGCCAACAATATAATATGCATTTATAACACCTCCATCCCAGTTCCACCCAGTACTTTTGCAGTGGCACAGATGATGCCTTAGGAGTTTAGCTTTTATATTTTTCATACATTTGTAATCCTGCAATTCTTTGGTGCATAACTCTGAAATCCACAGAGTATGAGCTGCTGCTCCCCCATTTGGGGCAGACACAACAATTCCTCTCCAGGCCTGGGAACCAAGGACATCTCACTGCCTCACGCCCCAGAAATGCAAACAAAAGTGAGTCAGAGTAGCAAACTTGGGATAAATTACTTCATTACCTGAAGGTTTAATTAGAATATTAACCCCCAATATACAAATTTATAGAAGTCTGAAAACTTGTGACCTGTGGTCCATTTTTGCTTGTAGCCTCTTATTGGCTTTATCTGCCCAAAATGTACCTAAAGGCCCTTCAATAAATATAACAGCTTTTTATAATTTTGTCTGGCCTCTTGTTTTTAGAAACTTGGGGTAAGTGCTTTCATTAGCTGAAGGTTTAATCAGAAGATTAACCCCCAATAAGCAAATGGACCAAATTTATAGAAGTATGGAAACCCGTGAGCCATAGTTCATTTTTGGGTGTAGCCCCTGGAGGGGTGGCAGCTTCATCTGCCCCAAACATACCTGAAGGCCCTTCAATAAATATAACTTCTTTATGTTAGTTTGATTTTGTCTGGCCTCTTGTTTTTAGAGACTTGAGGTAAATTACTTCATTACCTGAAGGTTTAATTAGAAGATTAACCCCCAGTATGCAAATGGACCGAATTTATAGAAGTATGAAAATCTGTGAGCCATTGCTCATTTTTGGGTGTAGCCCCTGGTGGGGAGGGGGCAGCTTCATCTGCCCCAAAAATACCCCAAACATACCCTTCAATAAATATAACTGCTTTATGTTCTCTTCATTTGGTATGGCCTCTGTTTTTAGGAAGCCCAAAAGGCACCAGTGATGCCCCTCCCAGGTTAGGTCGTGCCCCAGGAGGCAGCCTGAGATGCCAGGGGGACACAGGGTGCCAGGGCTGCACTGACCTGGAGGCTGGGCTGCCCTGAGGCCTGCAGGGCGTGCTGGAGCGCCTGGCTGAACAGGTCGTTGGTGATGGGTGTCCCCGACTGGACACTGGATGACATCGGGGACGTCCCGGAGGAGTGGCCCTAAGGAGGAGGGGATGGGTCAGGAGAAGGCTCACAGGAACCAGCACACAGCAACACCTGCAGCATCCCCTCACCCTCCAGCCCACAGGAGCTGCCTTAGCTCCTCCAGGAGGGAATGAAGGTGCCCCAGGCTGTGCTGGGGTCATGTGGAAGACAGGGATCACATGGATTTGCATGAGGGGATGCAGAGCCAGGTGTGCCAAGGATGGAATCACACAGGGAACTCCTCCTGAGGGAATGCAGAGCCAGGTATGCCAGGGCTGGGATCACACAGGGAACTCTTCCCTGAGGGGATGCAGAGCCAGGTGTGCCAAGGCTGGAATCACACAGGGAACTCCTCCCTAAGGGGATGCAGAGCCAGGTGTGCCAAAGTTGGGATCACACCAGGAACACCTCCCTGAGGGGATGCAGAGCTAGGTGTGCCAGGGCTGGGATCACACAGGGAACTCCTCCCTGAGGGAATGCAGAGCCAGCTGTGTCAGGGCTGGGATCACACAGGGAACTCCTCCCTGAGGGGATGCAGAGCCAGGTGTGCCAGGGCTGGGATCACACAGGGAACTCCTCCCTGAGGGAATGCAGAACCAGGTGTGCCAGGGCTGGGGTCACACAGGGAACTCTTTCCTGAGGGGATGCAGAGCCAGGTGCCCCAGAGCTGACCCAGGCTGTGCTGGCTGTCCCCTGGGTGCTGGGGTCATGTGGAAGACAGGGATCACACGGATTTGCATGAGGGACTGCAGAGCCAGGTGTGCCAAAGTCGGGATCACACCAGGAACTCCTCCCTAAGGGAATGCAGAGCCAGGTGTGCCAGGGCTGGGATCACACCAGGAACTCTTCCCTGAGGGAATGCAGAGCCAGGTGTGCCAGGGCTGGGATCACACCAGAACTCCTCCCTGAGGGAATGCAGAGCCAGGTGTGCCAGGGCTGGGATCACACCAGAACTCCTCCCTCAGGGGATGCAGAGCCAGCTGTGCCAGCCCAGAGCAGGACTGGTGCTGGCTGTTCCCTGCGTGCCAAGGGTGGGATCAAAGGGAAGACAACCCATCCCTGAGGGAATGCAGAGCCAGGTGTGCCAGGGCTGGGATCACACAGGGAACTCCTCCCTGAGGGGATGCAGAGCCAGGTGTGCCAAGGATGGAATCACACAGGGAACCCTTCCTGAGGGAATGCAGAGCCAGGTGTGCCAGGGCTGGGATCACACAGGGAACTCTCCCTGAGGGGATGCAGAGCCAGGTGTGCCAAGGCTGGGATCACACAGGGAACCCTTCCTGAGGGAGTGCACAGATTGGCATGCCGGCCTGCAGAGCCAGCTGTGCCAGCCCCGAGGCGTTACCTGCGTGCCCGGGGTGGGCGTGTGGGAGCTGCTCTCGGGGGTGCTGGCCAGGGCCAGGGCGGTGGCCAGCTCGCTCTGGGTGATGGGCCGGGGCCCCGCCGCCCCCGCGTAGCCCAGCGAGGCCGGGCGCGAGCCCGCCGTGCTGCTGGAAGGGGTGGACCTCGTGCTCTGCGTGGAGAGAGAGAAAAGCCCCAGCTGTGACCTCGGTGTTTGCGTCCCAGTCAAACCACAGATCCCTGTCCTGCCATAGCCCAAACTCCCACGGGTGGAACTTCTGAAGGACAAACATGCCAGAGCGGGATGTGCTTTTTTTCCACAAAGGCAGCTGTGGAAGCTGTCAGGAAACCTTTCAATCTATCATCCACCAGTCCCAAACCAGGGTGATGTTAGCCTGGAACAAAACAATTCCTGTTACAGGCACGTTTGGACCCAAATCTCCAGTTTTTCTAACAGAACCCTTTGTCATGTGGAGAGGAAGACTGCAGAAGGGCAGGGATCAACATTCCCACGCTCCACTTTGGCTGTGAGGGCATTTCCTCCGTTCCATTTTCCTGTTGTGTGTTCAGTACTGAGGAAAACCCTCTCCTGAGCAGCCTGGAAGCAGCCAGGATCAATATGTTTGTCTCCACATCCCCCTGGGGAGCCAGGGCAGCTCGTGGTGTTCAGCAGACGGGAAGGGAAGAGCTTGGGAGTCTCAGGGCTACAAATTAAACCCAAAAAGAGGTGTTCACCCAACCCGGCTGCTTACCTGGTGGAAATCATCTTCATCATCAGAGAGCCCCTCAAAGAGAAAGCCACCTGCACCAGAGAGGGGAATAAAAGGATGTGGCAAACCAGCAGGAGCTGGGAGCAGATGAGAAGCCTGTGGAGCTGCTGGCTGAGCAGTCAGGAGAGGCTCAGCAGAGCTGCCCTTGCAGAGGGACGTACCTGGCATGTCCCGGTAGGAGCCCAGGGCCATGGCCCGCGAGGACGTGTCCGGGGCTGGCAGGGGCGTGCTGCCCGCCACCGAGTGCAGCACCAGCACGATGGCGTTCACCAGGGCAGGGTGAGCCGGGATCAGCCTGGGCACAAACGGGCACGGGTGAGGGAGGGCACAGGGCAACCCCGGAACCAGCCCTGAGGCACCCGGGGCACAGCTGCTGCCCGACAAAAACTCCTCCAGGCAGCCAGGGATCCTTCAGGATCCTCACTGGACCTGGCCTTGGATCCTTCTGGATCCGGTCTTGGATCCTTCTGGACCCACACTTCCGTAACCCATCGTGAACCTGGCCTTGGATCCTTCTGGAACCCATGGTGCACCTGGCCTTGGATCCTCCTGGATCCATGCTGCAACTGGCCTTGGATCCTCCTGGATCCATGCTGGACCTGGCCTTGGATCCTTCTGAATCCATGCTGCACCCAGCCTTGGATCCTTCTGGAACCCATGGTGAACCTGGCCTTGGATCCTTCTGGCACCCACACAGGACCTGGCCTTGGATCCTTCTGGATCCCACGCTGGACCTTTTTTCAGTTCACCAAGGACCCTTCTAGACCTGACCTTGCCTCAGTTCTCCAAGGATCCCTCTGGACCCTATGTTGGACCTTCCCTCGGTTCTCTCCAAGGATCCTTCTGGACCCCATGTTGGACCTTTCCTCAGTTCTCCAAGGATCCTTCTGGACCTCATGGTTGACCTTCTTTCGGTTCTCCAAGGATCCTTCTGTACCCCCATGTTGGACCCTTCCTCAGTTTACCAAGGACCCTTCCGGACCTGGCCTTGCCTCAGTTCTCCAAGGATCCCTCTGGACCCCTGCTGACTTCTCCATGGTTCTCACGGGAGCAGCTCTGCTGTGAGCAGCTACACACGGCTCTGAACCCCGATCTGGAGGTGATGATGGCCCAGTCCCAGCCTGGCAGCAGGAGCAGAGCTCTGTCCCACCCAGGTGACACACAGGGACACAAAGGCACTGTTGAGTCACTGCCCCAGCTGGGGGAACTTACGTGTCCAGCATGTTGGGGTCTGCAAACACGGAAAACAGATCCTTGTCCTGCAGAACTCCTGGAGAAGACCAGGAAACACAGTGAGACAGGATACAGCAAACAGGAGCCAGGCACACAAAAGCCACAGGGACAAATAAATAGGAATTGTTTTACAGGAAGTGAGTCATGAGTAAACACCACAAATAGTCCCAATGTTCCTTTGAAGCCTTTGTGTTGAGAGGCTCTTGGTCACAGCCACACACCCAAGGGATGGGCTTTTCCAGCAGATCCTGTGGGTGTTCCACCTCAAGGGCAGGATGCAAGCTGGGCCCCAGCTCCCTGCAGCCACACTGTGACTGCATCCCAAATTCCACCTGCCTCGCACTGCCACCATCCCACAACAGGCTGGAATCCATGAACCATTCAGGAACATCCCAAATTCCACCTGCCTCGCACTGCCACCATCCCACAACAGCCTGGAATCCATGAACCATTCTGGAACATCCCAAATTCCACCTGCCTCGCACTGCCACCATCCCACAACAGCCTGGATTTAATGAACCATCCAGGAACATCCCAAATTCCACCTGCCTCGCACTGCCACCATCCCACAACAGCCTGGATTTCATGAACCATTCTGGAACATTCCCAATTCCACCTGCCTCGCACTGCCACCATCCCACAACAGCCTGGAATCCATGAACCATTCTGGAACATCCCAAATTCCACCTGCCTCGCACTGCCACCATCCCACAACAGCCTGGATTTAATGAACCATCCAGGAACATCCCAAATTCCACCTGCCTCGCACTGCCACCATCCCACAACAGGCTGGAATCCATAAACCATTCTGGAACATCCCAAATTCCACCTGCCTCGCACTGCCACCATCCCACAACAGCCTGGATTTAATGAACCATTCAGGAACATCTCAAATTCCACCTGCCTCGCACTGCCACCATCCCACAACAGCCTGGATTTAATGAACCATCCAGGAACATCCCAAATTCCACCTGCCTCGCACTGCCACCATCCCACAACAGGCTGGAATTCATGAACCATTCTGGAACATCCCAAATTCCACCTGCCTCGCACTGCCACCATCCCACAACAGCCTGGATTCAGTAAACCTTTCTGAAACATCCCAAATTCCACCTGCCTCGCACTGCCACCATCCCACAACAGCCTGGAATCCATGAACCATTCAGGAACATCCCAAATTCCACCTGCCTCGCACTGCCACCATCCCACAACAGCCTGGATTTCATGAACCATTCTGGAACATTCCCAATTCCACCTGCCTCGCACTGCCACCATCCCACAACAGCCTGGAATCCATGAACCATTCAGGAACATCCCAAATTCCACCTGCCTCGCACTGCCACCATCCCACAACAGCCTGGAATCCATGAACCATTCTGGAACATCCCAAATTCCACCTGCCTCACACTGCCACCATCCCACAACAGCCTGGAATCCATGAACCATTCTGGAACATCCCCAATTCCACCTGCCTCGCACTGCCACCATCCCACAACAGCCTGGATCGATTGAACCATTCTGGAACATCCCAAATTCCACCTGCCTCGCACTGCCACCATCCCACAACAGCCTGGATTTCATGAACCATTCTGGAACATCCCAAATTCCACCTGCCTCGCACTGCCACCATCCCACAACAGCCTGGAATCCATGAACCATTCTGGAACATCCCAAATTCCACCTGCCTCGCACTGCCACCATCCCACAACAGCCTGGATTTAATGAACCATTCTGGAACATCCCAAATTCCACCTGCCTCGCACTGCCACCATCCCACAACAGCCTGGATCTAATGAACCATTCTGGAACATCCCAAATTCCACCTGCCTCGCACTGCCACCATCCCACAACAGCCTGGATTTCATGAACCATCCAGGAACATTCCAAATTCCACCTGCCTCGCACTGCCACCATCCCACAACAGGCTGGATTTAATGAACCATTCTGGAACATCCCAAATTCCACCTGCCTCGCACTGCCACCATCCCACAACAGCCTGGATTTCATGAACCATTCTGGAACATCCCAAATTCCACCTGCCTCGCACTGCCACCATCCCACAACAGCCTGGATTTTGTGAACCACTTTGGAGCAGGGAGAGAGCTCCATCCCTCCTTTCCCTGACCCTTCTGAAGCCAGGATTCATCCCCAAACATCACCACCAGAGCACAACTGACACCTGAGCAGTCACCGACTCATGCTCCACAAAGGGACCAAAAATTAGAGTTTATTTACCTCTCTCTTCTCCCTCTCAAGAATTCAACCTAGATTTGGGTCTGTCCCTTCTCCCACCAGGAATCAAACCTTTCCTCAGATCCTCTGGATCACAGCCAGACTCACCCAGAGCCACGGGGTCGCTGCTGAGGCCGGGAGTAGCCACAATGATCTGATCCAGGGATTCCTTGTTTCCCAGCATCTTGAAGACCTGCCAGGGAAAGCAGAGCTGGTTGGGAATGTCACCCACTGTGGAGCTGTCCCCAGAGGGAGGGGACAGCTGAATTCCCCCCGGGAGCAGAGCACTCACAGCATCTCTGTAGGCAGGGCTGCTGTGCAGGGCAGTGTGCAGGACACGGAATTCCCGGACTGCTGCCACCTTATCCACGGGCTCTGAGGGAGAAAACACCACAACAAAACTCAGCTCGGCCTCTGTCAGCCCTCCAAGCCATTCCACAGCCCATGAGACTTCCATGCTGCAACAGGGATCCTTTAACATCCTTGGACTGGGTGCAGGCTCTGCACAGTGATGACTTGCTGCGCTCTCAGATTGCAAAAATAGACAGGAATATCGTCCCACATGTGCCATTCCAGGAATGCCAGCTCAAACTCCTCTTTTTGTACAGTCAGGCACAGCAGGAGCACACCCCAGCCTGCTCA